TATTCCTTGTAGATATACTTAACCCTTTACGTCCCGCCGTTCCTATTCACTTGACAGTTACACTTTTTCTTGTTTTCAGTTTTTTTTTAAACCTTTCATTATTCCCCTCCCCTTCACCAGACATTAACCCTTCATAGCCCTTGCTCATGGTCTGAATATTAACCCTATATTCCCCTCCTTCCCGTTCTCTGTGAATTCACCCTTTACTACCCCCTCCCATTCACTGTACATTAACCCTTCGGTGTCCCCTCTCCTTAACCTAAATGACAAAGATTATCGTGACCCGGGGGGGGGGGGGGGGGGGTCCCCAGTCCCCACTACATGGATTCACCTACAGAAGGAGGACCCTTGGATTGTACATTGGGTCTTTATCACATACAGTCTGAATAAAGGGGAATAAACCGATCTGATACAATCAAGTTGTAATGTGTGTTGCCAAATTATAAAATTAGAGTGAAAAAAAAAAAAAGACTCAATTCAATTCAAACCTTTTATTTAGTTATAAAAATTTAAAAAAAACTTGAATAGCACATACCCATTCAAGCGTTCATCAGTTTTTATATCGTAGGACATCGGACACCACCCCATTCTATTCCCCCCCCCCCCCCCCCCCAGTTGCTGATGAGCTGGTGAAGGGTGGATGATCCCTTTAAGCTGCTGACAAAGTGCGCAGGAGGGGGAGGGACTGAGGCGGGACCCAACTGGTATGCTAATTGCTCATTAATTACCCAATGGGCAGGCTGGAAGGGCAAGGCAATGAGGGAACTTTAGATGCCGAATAGTGGCATCAGCCTCCTGAATCACAAGACTGGCTGAACAGAATCACAAATATCTCGGCAGGTAAAAACATTTCCATATCGATTTCAAATGCGTATTCGTTGCAGTGTTGGGAGATTTGCTTCAAGTTACCACTTGCACAGTGCTAGGAGGTAAAACGTTCGTCGGAAGTGGTTTAGAACGGCCTCTATTATTCCTACACATACTGAAGGTCCACTGCGCTGGCAAACACCTGATTTCTTGAATCGTAAAACATATCTGCAACCAAGTACGAAAATTGTAAAATATTGTAGTTCTTCGATACAGTGGCTGCATTAGTTTTTTTTCCCTCGTTTTTTTTTTTTTTCTATTAAATCTTTTATCATCACCTAACGGTTCTGCCTGTAACACATTTCCTATCTTAGGGTGACAACACTCACTGTACTGTATGGGGTTGTCACTCTAGGACAGGACTACAGAACACCTCCCCCACTCAATAACATATAAGGAGGTTTTCTGTAATTCACAGAGAAAGCTGAGAAATGTAAGAGTGTAGCAGAGGCCGAGTGCACAAGAAGGTATTAGCTCACAAGATTTCTGGCAGGATCAAACAACAGAATTTAAAAGTTGGGGTGTACATACTCTTCACGTCTAGAGAATAAACCCTCCCCTTTAACCCCCTGCAATGTCCTTCCACAGCTCCACCACCTAGAATGTAAGATCATCGGGGGAAGGGTCCTCTTCTCCCATTGTGTCCTGTTCCTCTACATGTTTTTGGTGTTTTTTAAGAGAAATAAGCCTTAGATTATCCAAAAGAAGTATTGCCGTTTCTGGTAGACATCGGAATTAAGTCAACCAACAGTCTCTTCCATCTCTCTGGGACCATTGGTGAGATCTCTGAGCTGTGTTCCTGAATCTGCACACCTGCTGTGCCCATTATGAGGGGTCCCACCATCCCTGTGCCGAGTTCCCGTGTCTGCACACCTTTAGGAAGCTCCCACTAGGGAGGTCTCCTCCATCTATCTGGGGCCATTGGTGAGATCTGAGCCAAGTACCTGGATCTACACATCTGCTGTGCCTATTATGATGGATTCCAACCATCTCTGTGCTGATTTCCCTGGTCTGCACACCATTAAGAGGAATTCCCACTAGGGAGGTCTCCTCCATCTATCTGGGGCCATTGGTGAGATCTCCGAGCCGAGTAACTGGATCTACACATCTGCTGGATCGATCCCCACCATCCCTGTGCTGAGTTCCCAGGTCTGAACACCCATATGAGGGGTTGCCACCATTTCAGCACTTCCCAGATCTACACACCTGCTGTGCCCATTTTGGGGGCTCCCACCATTCTTTCACTTAGTTCCCAGGTCTACACACCTGATGTGCCCATTATGAGGGGTTCCCACCATTCCTTTGCTAAGTTCCTGGATCTGTACACCTGCTGTGCCCATTATGAGGGGCTCCCACCATTCCTTTGATGAGTTCCTGGGTCTGTACACCTGCTGTGCACATTATGAGGGGTTACCACCATCCCTGGGTCTGGGTCTACATTATAAAAAATTCAATAGCAATAGTGACATCCCCAGATGATTTATGGTGGGCAGGAATGGAAGAAGGAACTATGGCAGGGCAAGCTAAGCAATGGAGCCCCAAAGAGATATAAAAAGCCAAGAGGTGACACAACCCACCAGAATCCATCTACACCTGAAACATCCCCGTTTGGGTGGACAGTCCATTGAATTGTTCATACTTGATGGAGGATGACCAATCCTTCATCGTCATCATTGGCTGTGGGATTTCTGATGTGATATAAGTTGCTTTTCCTCCGTGAAACTTTTCCGGCACTCCGAACAAGAAAACGGCTTCTTGCCGGAGTGGAGTCTCAGATGCTTACTGAGGTGCGCCTTTTGTGAGAAGCATCGGCCACACTCCGGACAGCAAAAGGGCTTCTCACCAGTGTGGACCCTCCGGTGCAGAGTGAGAAGAGTCCCCGACTTGAACGACTTCCCGCAATCAGAACACGGGAAGGGCTTTTCGCCAGTGTGGTCCCTCTGGTGGAGAATGAGGTGGGACTTTTTCTTGAAGGACTTCTCGCACTCGGAACACGAGAAGGGTTTTTCGGTGGTGTGGACTCTTTGGTGCGTGTTCAGTTCCGATTTGGTTTTGAAGGACTTATCACACTTAGTACACGAATACGGCTTCTCGCCAGTGTGAACTCTCTGGTGGACCTGAAGCTGATACTTTTTTACGAAGAGCTTGTCGCAGTCTGGGCAGGAAAAGATCTCCTTGCCCGTATGAGTCCTCTGATGTACGTAGAGGTCACATTTCTTTTTAAAAGATTTACCGCACTCCAAGCAGATCAACGATCCCTCTTTTATACTCAGTTTCTGCAGCTGCTCTTTCTTTTTGAGGAGCTTGTCTCGCCGTTTCTCCAGGTGGTTCTGCTGGTGTATGATGAGCGTGTGCTTCCGGGTGAAACACTTCCCGCACTCCGGACACGAGAACGGAGTCTCGCCCGTGTGGATTCTCTGATGTGTCGTTAGATGATACTTCTCTTTAAAGCTCTGGCCACATTCGGTGCATGAATAAGGCCTCTCGTCTGTGTGATGTCTCAAGTGATGGACCAGTCCTGACTTGAATTCAAAGGATTTCCCACAGTCTGGACACGGGAAGGGTAGCAGACCGACGTGATGTTTTTGGTGCTTAAGCAGATTTGATCTTGTCGTGAAACATTTGCCGCACTCCGTACAAGGAAACAGGCGCTCTCCTACATGAGTCTTCTCATGGACGGCAAGTGATGATTTTGTTGTAAAATATTCATCACATTCAGGACATGGAAATAGCCTAGTGTCTCCAAGTGTGATTGTATCTGAGAAACCTTCCATAAGACTACTTGGAGTGATGGAATTATCTTCTGCATAGCAACCTGAAGGTAAAATAAGGGGTCCCTCCAAGGTATTCTGGACATCGTTTCCATCTGATGGCAAGAAAAAAAATGGTATTATTAAATGCATGTTCATTCTTTATATTTTTCAATCATGTATATTAGTTTTTTGGTCAAGGGTTTCACTAAGCTCTGGTATTAGAATGTGTACTATCACACTGGGTCATCATACTTACATACTTACAACATTATTATAGATATAGGCCTTCCTCTGCCTCATTTTTTGGGAATGAGACGTTATTTTAGGGAATGGAGATGGACCTTCCATATGGTGTCCACTATCTCCTCATTTGTAGGAAACAGGACAATACATTGAGGAATGGAGATGGACATTTCATATGGTGTTCAGTATCTCCTCCTCATTTGTAGGAAACAGGACAATACATTGAGGAATGGAGATGGACATTTCATATGGTGTCCAGTATCTCCTCCTCATTTGTTGGGAACGTGACGTTATATTGAGGAATGGAGATGGACCTTTCATATGGTGTCCAGTATCTCCTCCTCATTTGTTGGGAACATGACGTTAGATTGAGGATATTCTACACACACACACACGTAAAAATACATTTCAAATAGACTGTATGTCTTTAAAAATACATATTACATTTTTGGAATGCAGTTACAAATATATGTTAAAAATTACTTTTTTATATGTAAAAAACAATATGAAGAATATATATTTTTTCAAAAAATATATTTTCAAAAATATATATTTTTTTAAATATATTCTTCAGATTATTTTTAACATATATGTGTAAATGCATTCCAAAAATGTAGATTTGTATATTTATTTCATTATATTTGAAATGTATTTTTAAAAATATTTTTGATATATTTTGTAATAAAAACACAATATATATATAGATAGAATATGGCCAAAATTGTAACATTTCAAATATATGGCAATATTTGGGAAGAATATTTTTTAAATATTTTTTCTTCCATATGGGTCTACTCACTCACGTTCAGTCCATGTGCATACCTTAAACTGGCAGGCCAAAAAAAAAAAAAAAAGTGAACAGCATTGGGAAGCATTTATGATTTACCTGCTTCATTATCAAGAGAAGGTTCCTCCTTTATAATGGTCACCAAAATGTCAGGATCTTCAGATGACTGCAGATCACCCCTCTCATCAGTCTCTTCTTCATCCGCTTCAACTTTAACTTTAAGATGAATCAGTTCTTCGTCCTAATCACAGAAAATAACAGATAATATCTGTAACTGGTAGGCACTAATAAACTACAAAGAAAAAATAAAAAATTTAAATCCGTCTGGAGTCTCTTGAGTTCTTCTCTACCTACCTGATGATGGTGAGGGATGGTGTGACCTTCCTGTGTGGAATCCGAGGAATACAGAAGACGGGGACATCTCTCTGGTGGGTTCCCATTACTAGATCCATCTACCTGATGACGGTGAGGGATGGTGTGACCTTTCAGTGTGGAATCCCAGGAATACAGAGGATGGGGACATCTCTCTGGTGGGTTTCTTTTACTAGATGTACCGGCTTTAACCTCAGTTTTCAGATCTTCCCTCTAAAATCGCAAAAATGATTGAGAGCACTAATAACCCACAGAAGAACATAGTCTAATACAGGTTAAGCCTAGTACATATAATCAGAAAATCGTGCAAAAATTACCACTTCCAAAGCGATCGTATGACAGTCTGATGGTTGGTACACATTTATTCGAAGGGAGAAGCACAAACATTTTTCTCGTACGATACCAGATCGTCCAGTTTTATCATTTTATCAGTACAGTTTTCATCCAAAAATACGATACAAATACATGACATCACTTCTGAATTTTTATTCGGTCATATGCGAATTTTCGTAACTATAGTAACATTTTTATTATCGATATGAGACTAGCATGCAAAAAAGAAATAAAAAATGGACGACATTCTGATCGTGTATACGTGGCCTTACAGTCAAGCTTGATGTCAACATAGTCCCATCTACCTGATCCTGCTTAGGGATCTCATGATCTTCCTGTGTGGTATCCAGGGAATACAGAGGACGGGAACATCTCTCTGGTGGATTCCCATTGCTGGATCCATCTACCTGATGATGGTGGGGGATGGTGTGACCTTCCTGTGTGGAATCCCGAGAATACAGAGGATAGGGACATCTCTCTGGTGGGTTCCCATTACTGGATCCATCTACCTGATGATGGTGAGACCTTCCTGTGCGGAATCCCGGGAAAACAGAGGACGGGGACATCTCTCTGGTGGATTCCCATTACTGGATCCATCTACCTGATGATGATGGGGGATGATGCGACCTCCCTGTGTGGAGTCCTGGGAATACATACCACGGGGACATCTCTCTGGTGGGTTCCCAATACTGGATCCATCTACCTGATGATGGTGAGACCTTCCTGTGCGGAATCCTAGGAAAACAGAGGACGGGGACATCTCTCTGGTGGGTTCCCATTACTGGATCCATCTACCTGATGATGGTGAGACCTTCCTGTGCGGAATCCTGGGAAAACAGAGGACGGGGACATCTCTCTGGTGGGTTCCCATTACTGGATCCATCTACCTGATGATAATGGGGGATGATGCGACCTCCCTGTGTAGAGTCCCGGGAATACATAGGACGGGGACATCTCTCTGGTGGGTTCCCATGACTGGATCCATCTACCTGATGATGGTGAGGGATGGTGTGACTTTCCTGTGTGGTATCCCGGGAATACATAGGACGGGGACATCTCTCTGGTGTGTTCCCATTACTGGATCCACCTACCTGCTGATGGTGAGGGATCTTCTGGTCTTCCGGTGCAGAATGCCGAGAATACAGAGGACAGGGGCATCTCTCTGGTGGGTTCCCATTACTGGATCCATCTGTAGGAAACACACACACTGACTGAATCCATTGTTTCTATGTGTTTATCAGATGATGGGGGATCTAGGTGGACCCTCTGTACTGCTCTCTCCTTTACAATAAAGTCTCCTCTTACCCGGTGATGTGAGGGGCGGTTGATTGTCCATCATGACGTCCTTGTAGAGATCCTTGTGTCCTTCTAAATACTCCCACTCCTCCATGGAGAAAAAGACAGTGACATCCTGACACCTTATAGAAACCTGACACACACAATGATACAGTCACCATCCAGACACATCCCTTGTCTGTTACTGGAGAATGTCCCAGAATTCCCGGCACCGCTCACCTCTCCCGTCAGCAGCTTGGTGATCTTGTTGGTGACTTCTAGAATCTTTTTTCGGTTATGCGTTTCGGTTTTCAAGGACAGAGATGAAGGCGCTTTAATAGGGTTGTCTTTATTCCCTGATGTCATTTTCACCACTATATGATCCTGTGAAGACACAACGACAACAATCGTTTAAGAATTCCAAGAATATCAGTTCGTCCACCAGGGGGGCAAAAAAAAATATGCCCATTTGGATAAATCCAAATCTCTAGAAAACAAAATGTTTGTCCGGAAAACGAATTGTAATGAAATGCACATGTCTAAGGACTACAGAATCTCTTCCTTCTATGTGACCGAGAGGAGAAGAGAGGAAGATGGCAGCCTGGGAAATCTGAGAAACAGATGCCTGATGCTGAAAAGCCCAAGAAGCTCTAATGGACCTGGTAGAGTGTGCTGCAACAAGAAGGGAGGAACCCTTATCATTTAGGGTATACGTTTGCATGACAATTTGTCTAGCCCACCTAGCAATGGTGGAGCAGGAAGCAAGGAGCCCCCTCGAGATAACCTTCTGGAAAGACAAGAAGGAGCCTGATTGAAGAAAAGAGGCAGTAGATGAGAGGTACTTACGTATGTGCCATGTCCTGACAGTGGAGAGAAAATTTTTTGGAATGTTTTGGAACATGACATGAGGAGGGGAGGGAAATGCCCTACCTGAGGTAGATGGAGGAAACCAACCAGCTTAGGGGAAAAAGAGGCTTTAGAACAACCGTGTCCTTAAGTAATAGGAAGGGCTCTTTACAGGCCACTAACTCAGAGACCCTTCACAAAGAGGCGATTGCTTTGAGAAAGGCCACCTTGTGAGTGAGGTCACACAAGGGAATATCCCTAATAGGTTCGAAGGGTGGCCTCTGAAGGGCCAAGAGAACAAGGCTATGGTTCCATGGAGTCGCAAGGAAATCGACAGGGGGAGAAATGCTTGCATCACCCTGCACAAAGACCCTAACTAAGGAATGAAAGGCCAATGGTATTTAAAACAGAATAGCCAAGGCCTTGATTTGCCCTTTGATGGTGCTCAGTTAGATGCCGATCTAGACCAGACTGGAGGAAGGACAGGATGTGCCTCACAGAGTACTTTTTAGGTGGAAATGTCCTGGTCTCATATCATGCAAAATAGGCTTTCCAAATGCAATGGTAGACTGCGAGAATTTGAATTCCTGTCCTTTAAAAGAATGGGGATGACCAACTCCAACATGCCCCTGTCCCTTGGGACCTGGGCTTCAACAATATGCCAATATAGCCAGTGACAAAGAAGCAGGATGGTAGAATGGCCCTTGGGACAGAAGGTCTGGGTGAACTGGAAGGGCCCTGGGGAGAATCTGCTAGAGGTCTGAGTTTATATGAGTACCACACCCTCCTGGGCCAATTCAGTGCAATGAAAATCACCCAATGCCATCTATCTCAATTCTGCAGAGCAGAAAAAGAAGAAACTGTGGAGGAGAAAAGGCACAGATCAGGTAGAACTGATCCTATGGAGTCACCAGAGCATCATCTATGATGGTCCACAGGTCTCTGGGCCTGGCAAGTTTGTTGTTGAACCTCGATAACAGAAGATCTGCACCCAGCATCCCCACTGTGGTAAAAGGCTTAGAACATCTGCAGGTGGAACACCCATACCCCTGGATCCAGATGCTGATTTCGGAGAAAAGTCTGCTTGCCATTTTTCCCTGCCTGGGATGTGGATGACGGAAAGGGCCAGAACATGCAGTTCCGTCCAAGAATCAAATCTGCTTCTCTTTGAGTGAAGCAGCTTCTGGTGGCTCCTTGATGGCTGATGTAGGGTAGTTGGGTAGGTGCAGTAGTAATCACACAGAGGCTCAGAATGCAGTAACCATTCCTACAGCAATCCACTGAGCTGGCCAGAACCAACTCTTGAGGGAGTCTATTCCACATTCTCACAGCTCTTACGGTGAAGAAACCTTTCCGTTTTTGGAGATTAAATCTCTTTTCCTCCAGACGTAAAGAGTGCCCCCTTGTCCTCTGTGGTGACCTCTACATATGTCAAATATATAGCAACAGCACAGCGGGGAAGCTCACCTGACCAGGAACTTATAGTCCATGGAGTAGAGAGTCAACGGTGTGTAGGTCCAAACTGAACACAGTGCCTGCCAAGGAGGGCGGAATGGGGCATGCATGGTACAACCCATACGGGAGCTTTCTTGTGCTGAAGACATGAGCCCTGAGCTTTACCTACTCCTCTGGAATCTCTCTTTGCCGCTACACTAGATGGGTATGCTCTGTCTACACTAGCCACTTTGCAAACGCTCACTAAAACCAGGGGGCAGGGACTTAAAAAGAGTCTGCGTGATCCAAGATTGCCGCCAGGGTCACCAGGATGCAGAATAGCCAACCATGGACCCGAGAGAGTCATAGAAAAGCCTAGTTTCCCTGCTCCAGATGAGTGCCACCTACAGTGGAGAAAAGAGACTTCACCTGCCTACATACAGCTGTAGCATTGCCCAACTGAATTCTTGTCGGGTGACCTTGCAGGTGAAGGGTCCAGCATTGAAGGGACAACGGGATCTCTCTGAGTTCCAGGATGATGATGGTAAGATGGGCTTCTTCGTGTCGGCCAAGTCCTCTACACCTAGTGAGCATCCAGGACTCCCCAGCCCAAAAGACTGGCATGCGTAATGAGGACTATCCAAGTTTTTGAGGGAAAAGGTTTCTCTGACTTCAGTGCCAGGTTGGAAATCATCCACCTCAGGAAGAGTATGGCCTTGCAGGTTAAATGCATGGGGTGGTCCAAGGACCAAGTCTATTTGTCCCATACTGCCAGAACGTTGAGACGCAACAGTCTGGAGTAAAACTGGGCCTGTGGTAGTGCATTATAAGAGGCTACCATGAGGCCCCAAATCAAGGACCGACCCTAGGGCTGAAGGGCCCGGGCACATGAGCAGAGGGTCAATAGTTTTTCCTGAGGCAGGAAGATTTTGGACAGGGCCATAGCCAATGACAGGCCCAGGTACTCCAATTGGTGAGTCAGTTCCAGTGATGACCTCCAAGGAGGATACAAATGAATTTCTACAGAGTCTACATTGTCCTTCAGACATTGGCTGACAGGGTTATAAAAGACCGGTCCTTTAACAAGAAATCGTCCAGGTATCCAACAACGACTGGTGGAAGCACCTTGGTGAGGACCCAGGCTGTGGACAGGTCAAAGGGAGGGGAGATAAAATGGTAACGCTGAGCACCCACGGCAAAATGCAGATGGTGTTGTCGAGGAGGAAATATGGGAACTTGTGAGTAACCATCCCTGATGTCTCCATGATGGGCATTCCTCCAAAGGGATCTTCATGGACACGGATCCAACACCAGCAGACCAAAGCTCTGGACCTGCCTCTAACTTAACATGATCCCCCACATGCCAAAGTGATCTCCCACCCTTGGGTAGGAGATCACTTTGGCATGTGGGGGATCATGTTGATCCGTGTCCATGAAGATCCCTTTGGAGGAATGTCCATCATGGAGACATCAGGGATGTTGACTCACAAGTTCCCATATTTCCTCCTCGCCAACACCATCTGCATTTTGCCGTGGGTGCTCAGCGTTACCATTTTATCACCCCTCCCTTTGACTTGTCCACAGCCTCCTGAGTCCTCACCAAGGTGATCCAACGCTCATATCGACATTACAGTCTGGTACTGCAGCTTCTCCAGGCGGGGTCCAGGTACGGCCCTCCAACCAATCCAGAAGCTGCAGCAGGACTTCGGTTTCTCTAAAAAGTTCTGCTATCAGACTCCATAGTACGAAGGTAAGCTTCCGGCAAACGATTATTGTTCTTGGTGTATTTGTTGTACAATTTAGAAAATGAATAAATACCATCTTAAAAAAAAAAGGAAGGTATGCTTCCCTCCGTAGAACTTCATACGTGCTACAATCTGATTGTACAATCTCATTTACATTCACCAAAATTATATATTTTTGGACAAACTTACACAATCCCATCAGTTTCTACCCAGCTGCACAGGCTCTTACCTTACATAGTTGATGGTAGATCTAGAGGAGATTATATAGTGTATGGTCAGCTTTAGTTCTTTTAAGCTGACTATACAATCTGATTGTACAGTCAGCTTAAAAGAACTAAAGTTGGCCATACACTTTACAATCTGATTGCACAATCTCTGTACAATTTTCCAAACCAAGACTATGTGATATAAAAGGAAAAACCTAAAAAATCCACTTAACTAGCATTCAGTCAGGCAGGCCCTTGCACTTCGTATTTGATAGTAGAACTAAAGAAGATTGTACAATCAGATTGTATGGTGTATGGTCAATATAGGAATACTACCAGAAAGCTGAGGCTTGCTGGGAAAGTGGGATATGTCGCCTTCTTCCTGCCTGTTGTTACCCCCAAAATGCCACACTACTGCAGTTCCTGGGAGGTTGCAGAGTGGCACCACTCCCCGTGAATCGGATGTGTCCCATGGTTGGCAGGGGCGGACTGACCATTTGGAAACTCGGGCCCGGGGTCAGTAGGGGGCCCCATGAGATGCCCCTGGTACCTTTTTCATAGGCTTTTTTGAGTTTGGGCAAGGACACAGGGGCCCCATGATCCCCTATTGCCCGGGGGCCCCATGAGTTGTCAGTCCGCCCCTGGTGGTTGGTATTACCTGCTGTACACAACAGGGGGGTAGAAATTCTTGCTGTGGCTGAGAAGCAAACCATTGCTACAATGGCTTGTGTATACCCCCGGCCACTGCCTTTGCAGCGGCTGGAGGGGTTGTAAAAACACGCAGCCGAGGCACGTTTTGTAACCCTTCCAGCCAGGGGCGGACTGAAAACTCATGGCGCCCCTGGGCAATAGGGGATCATGGGGCCCGTGTCCTTGCCCACACTCAAAGCACACCCAAAAAAGCCTATAAAAAGGTACCAGGGGCATTTCATGGGGCCCCCTACGGACCCCGGGCCCTCGGGCAGTGCTTAAATGGTCAGTCCGCCCCTGCTTCCAGCCTTTGTAAAGGCATTGGCCGGGGGTGTAAACAAGCCATTGTAGCAATGGTTTGCTTCTCACCCACGGCAAGAATTTCTACCCAACCTGTTGCGTACAGCAAGGTAATACCACCCTCCAACTGCAAGTGTAAACGAGCCCTGACACTAGCAGTAATATTTACCGCCCCCATGAAAAGTGATCTGCAGTGGATCGCTTTTCAGAGGATGGTAAATAGAGGTTTGCAGGCAGTTTGGGGGGCGGTAAAAACGTGGCTTAACTGCCCCAATTGCAAATGTAAAAAAAAAAAAAGGCCTTAAAGTCTACACTGCTCTAAAAAGCAAATCGATTTAGGTGGCTAAACGTTTGCCTGTCTGTAAACTTTTTCATAAAAAACTGTCATAAAAAAAAGAGTAAAAGGGAGAATAATTTGTCTTTAAAAACACGAAAGCAAAAAAATGCCCAATTTTTTTTTTTTTTACTGATTTGTCATTGAAAAACCAAGAAGAAAAAAAGGAATCAGACTTGGCGTCTGCGCTCCCAGAATCCTCCTCACCTCCCCGGTCAGCAGGTAGATGATCTCCAGGGTGAGGTTGAGGATGGTCTCGGTCAGCCGGTGCAGTTCTCCTCCATGGCTCTCCCCCTCCTCCACTCACTTCCTGCACAAGCAGCTTCTACCCTCAGCATTCTGGGGGAAAAAGCCAAACCCTTTGGTGGCTGATTCATCTTGGCCATTTTGTTGTAGACCAGGGGGACCGCATTTAGTTGCTGTTTTCTAACAAAATCTGCCGGTCAGCAGACAGAAATTGTATTTCTGCATCTTCTCATGTGTCCATTTAGCTGCATTTCTAGATGTCTCCACAAATGGGGGCTACAGAAAAATGGCCACCACCATACGCTCCGGCTGATGTTGCCTTTGGATGTCTCGTCATTTTTTGGCAGAAGGTGTCACAATATGGATTGTTATACTTGTATACAACAGGAAATTTGGATTTAAAGGGATAGTTTTCAAACTGCATTCACTATATCCGCACTCCCCGGACCCTGCATTCACTATATAGGCTCTCCTCGGACCCTGCATTCACTATATCCACTCTCCCCGGACCCATCATTCACAATATCCGCTCTCCCCCGACCCTGCATTCACTATATCCACTCTCCCCGGACCCTTCATTCACTATATCCGCTCTCCCCCGACCCTGCATTCACTATATCCACTCTCCCCGGACCCTTCATTCACTATATCCGCTCTCCCCGGACCCCACGTTCACTATATCAGCTCTCCCCGGACCCTGCGTTCACTATATCCGCTCTCCCCGGACCCCGCATTCACTATAACCGCTCTACCCGGACCCCGCATTCACTATATAGGCTCTCCTCGGACCCTGCATTCACTATATCCACTCTCCCCGGACCCTTCATTCACTTTATCCGCTCTCCCCGGACCCTTCATTCACTATATCCGCTCTCCCCGGACCCCGCGTTCACTATATCCGCTCTCCCCGTACCCCGCGTTCACTATATCCGTTCTCCCCGGACCCCGCGTTCACTATATCCACTCTCCCCGGACCCTGCGTTCACTATAACCGCTCTCCCCGGACCCCGCATTCACTCTATAGACTCTCCTCGGACCCTGCATACACTATATCCACTCTCCCCGGACCCTTCATTCACTATATCCGTTCTCCCCCGGACCCTTCATTCACTATATCTGCTCTCCCCGGACCCCGCATTCACTATATCCGCTCTCCCCGGACCCCGCATTCACTATATCCGCAGCTCCTCGGACCCTGCATTCACTATATCCACTCTCCCTGGACCCCGCATTCACTATATCCACTCTCCCCAGACCCCGCCTTTCCTATATCCCCAGACCCTGCATTCACTATATCTACTATATGGCAAGGAGAGGGTTAATCCACAGTAAAACATTGCAAAGATGGCAAGGCGAGGGTTAATCCACAGGAAAATGATGCATAGATGGAGAGGCGAGGGTTAATCCATGGTAAAAAGATGCATAGATGGAAAGGCGAGGGTTACTCCACAGGAAAATGATGCATAGATGGAGAGGTGAGGGTTAATCCACAGTAAAAGAATGCATAGATGGAGAGGCGAGGGTTAATCCACGGTAAAATGATGCATAGATGGAGAGGCGAGGGTTAATCCACAGTAAAACGATGCATAGATGGCAAGGCGAGCGTTAATCTTCAGGAACACAATGGCATAGATGGCAAGGAAAGGGTTAATCCACAGCAGAACTAATCACTGACAGCAAAGGAAGAGTTAATTCACAGTAAAACAATGGCATTGACAGCAGAGTGAGGGTTAATCCACAATAAAACACTGAATAGACAACAAGGCGAGGGTTAATCCACAGGAGACCGATGCATAGATGGAGATGCGAGGGTTAATCCACAGAAAAACGATGCATAGATGGAGAGGCGAGGGTTAATGCACAGGAAAATGATGCACAGAGAGCAAGGCAAGGGTTAATCTTCAGGAACAAAATGGCATAGATGGCAAGGAATGGGTTAATCCACAGCAGAACTAATCAATGATAGCAAAGGAAGAGTTAATTCACAGTAAAACAATGGCATTGACAGCAGAGGGAGGGTTAACCTACAGTAAAAACGATCGTTGACAGCAAAACAAGGGTTAATCCACAGCAAAACCATGCACAGGTGGTAAGGCGAGGGTTGATCTGCAGCAGAACCCATCGCTGACAGCAAAGCAGTGGTTAATTGGCAGTAGAACACTGCACAGACAGCAGGGCGAGGGTGTTAATCCACAGTGACCAATCACCTTCAGAGCAAGCCTGGGACTAATCCACAATAAAGGTGTATGCACAGCAAGGAAGGGGTTAATCCCCCATCTATTAGTCTATAGGGAGGTGAGGGTTCATTTTCAGTCTCACAGCCCAACACTTGCTATGACCAAGCCTGCACAACAGACTACATTACCCAGAATCCTGTGTGGCTCTCCCCTCCCCCTCCCTGAGAGATCATCAGCCGGAGCCCAGAGGGTGCAGGTATGTGTTCTCCAGGGTTCCCTCCTGACTACACAACGCCAACCGTTCGCTGTGACCGCTATCTGTACTGTTATCCTACACAATGATGTCATTTCCATGGTGCCCTCTGAATTTATAATCCAATGGGAGCTCATAGTCCAGTCACTTCTACAGATCTCCACATCAAGCTGCACATGGGACGAATGTGGAGGAACGAGGAGTACAGGGCTACTGCGGTACAGATTCATCATGTGTGTCTCTTTTATACAATTAATGTTCTTCAGCTGTTTTACGTGTTATATACTAACCAATCAGAATATGGGTTCACGTAATCCTGAAGAACGATGATGATGGCAGAGCTGGAATGGCCAAAAACCAAACAAAGCTTCTGGAGGCCCAAAGAGCTGATGAGAAACAAGGAAGAGATGGCTACAAACGCAAGTCTAATCCATTTTCAGAAACATTTTCCCTCATGATGTCTCTAAAAAAAGAAGATTTGAACGTAGGTGTCACAGGAGGATCCACATAATCACCTGGAGGAACATGGTCATGAATGAAGAGTCAATGAAGCCGAACCAGGCCAATTAGAAGGATTATTGAAGAGAAAATTGCCAAATTTTTGTCCCTAGCTAAAAAAAACTCTGCTGGAGAAGACCTATACAGGAGAGCAAGACAAAGAACTGGAAAGGGAGAAGAAGAACATGGTGGATGGATGACATCAGGAAATGAATGCCTGCCTTGACGTAAAGCAGAACGCTAACCTGGCCAAAGACAAGTCCAAATGGAAAAAGATTGTGAAAGCAAGTTTCCAAGGTTGAAGTTCAACGAAGACCACAAAAAATGATGGTAGTGGTAGGTCGTCAAGTCTCATGGCTAAAATGTGATATCTGGAATGTCCCATGTTCTCCTCCATATCCAAGGGATATTGTACCTTCTATTTAAAGTCCTCATCAAATACATGCGATGATCATTTATGATTTGACAACAAAATCTTATTTCTGATGGTCTTTTGTTCATGGAATGGGGACACAGTCCAAGCCAATGAATTCCAGTAGATAAAATGTTTGATCATTGGAGACAACCCTTCCATAAACTCTAGACTATGTCCTCAGGCCTGCCCAAGATTTATCCAGAGTAAAGCTGTTTTTAGGGTTCTAAAAGTAACTGGTGGTTGTTGCTTACATTATTTGTTGAATACGCAGCAAAAGACAAGGCCAAATGGAAAGAGATGATGGAGGCAAGGTTCCAAGTTTGAAGTTCACCAAAGGGCACAAAAGGGTCACAGCAGTGGTAGATCGTCAAGACTCATGGCTGGAATGTTATATTTAGAGTGCCCCATCTTTTCCTCCATATCCAAGGGATATTGTACCTTTTATTAAGGTCCTCTTCAAATACATGGTGTGACCGTGTAACAATTCTGTTGGTCTTTTTGTTCATTGAAGGCCAAAACAATGGATTCTGGTACATAAAATTATCATTGGAGACAATCCTCCCCATGAACACAAGATCATTTCCTCAGATCTGCTCCGAGGTTTGTCCAAGAGTACACAGAAACATTTAAGGTTCTACAAGTGTTGTTGCTTGAATTCACAGATCCTTTTTTAAATTCTTTAGAGTTACGTCTCCATATTGCCTTGGATCTATTTTTATGCAAAGTTGATTTGACGATGTTGAGTCCATGCTAGTTGCCGATATTTTGTGATGTACAATATTTTACTGACAACTCCATTTAAGGTTTTTTTTTTTTTTTTAACTTTTGGTTTCCTGAAGGTCACCCACTCCTATGGAGGCCAGAGGCTGATCTACAACTCAACAAAATGGACAAGGACAAGGATGAAATTAGGAAAATATTGGATCTTACACTGGAGATCATTTATCTGCTGACCGGAGAGGTGAGAAAGCATTCTGGGAGGTCACATGACATCACTCTTATCTCTATTAATAAAACACAGACCTGACTGGAGAGGTGAGGAGGATTCTGGTAGGTCACATGACATCACTCTGATCTCTATTAATAAAACGCAGACCTTACTGGAGAGGTGAGGAGGATTCTGGGAGGTCACATGACATCACTCATCTCTATTAATAAAACACAGACCTGACCGGAGAGGTGAGGAGGATTCTGGGAAGTTATAACTGTCTCTCTTATCATACACAGGACTACACAGTAGTTAAGAAGACCTCAGATGGTGGACATAGCCCTGTCTTGGTGTTTCCACCCCACTCCTTGATATATTCAATGAATACCAAGCGGAAAATTCTAGAAGTCGTCGAGAGAATTACTGATCTGCTGACAGGAGAGGTGAGTGGTGTCGGGAATTCTGGGACATTCTCCAGTAACAGACAAGGGATGTGTCTGGATGGTGACTTTATCAATGTGTGTGTCAGGTTCCTAGTTGGAAATATGTAGAAGAACCTAAAGATTTATACGAGGATGAGAAGATGGAGAGTCAACACTTATTCTTATCACCTGGTAAGAAATTAAGGTCCACCAACATCCCCCATTGGAGTCCTCATTTGAGCCCCTCCTACATCAGAGTCCTTATCAGCATCCCCCCTTACATCAAGGTCCCTATCAGTGCTACCCCTACATCATTTCCTCATCAGCGGATTCCCCTGACCATAGCTGTGGGACAGTTTAGCCCATGGGTCATAGTTTGGAGACCCATGGCCTAGAGATATAATAGACTCAAGCATTAGTCCTACCAACCAGCATTGTGCTAACAGTTTCTTTTGGGGGGCCTCCTAGATTGTCCATCACTGCATTAGCACCATCTAGATCCCCCATAATCTGATAAACACATAGAAACAATGTATTCAGTCAGCGCGTGTGTTTCCTACAGATGGATCCAATAATGGGAACCCACCAAAGAGATGTCCCCATATTCTGTATTCCCAGGATTCCACACAGGAAGGTCGGACCATCCCTCACCATCATCGGGTAGGTGGAGCTAAAAAACCCAAGTGACTTTTCCCCGTACAATCCATAGGAATGATATGTGGATATTATGAGCCAACATTCTTCTACGTTGTCGTAGATAATGTTATATAATATGTCCCTTTTATGTATTTTTTTGGATCCTTAGAATGAAGCTAAACCTGAAATGAAGATTGAAGGTGAAGATGAGGAAGACAATACATTTTTGAGGGATCCAGAGCATGTGATGGAGAACCCTGAAATGAAGGTGACCTTTAAAGAGGAAGAAATTATTGCAGAGATCAGTACAGGTTGGTAATATATGTTCCAATATAAACCAGCGCAAAACACAAATATTAAATAATAAGTGAATATAAAATTACTATTTTATAAAATAATCTTCAAAGTCCAGTGATAAAGGTAAGTGACCACAATCCCGTGACATATAAAAACTAAAAAAACTAAAAATTTTTTTTTCCATAAATCAAAAGTCCAGTGATCTAAAAAAACTTTTTAAAAAATAAACTTCAGTGCTTCAAATAGTTCTTCCACCATCCACCAGTGCCGAAACCAACATAAACCGCACTCACCAGATATTGGTGAGTAAAACACCTTTCAGGATTATTTAGGGCTCCTGGACCGCCTTTGAGGACTCCTCTATTTTCCACCTCAGATCTATGGGTATTTCTCCATTCGTCTCCTCGCCAAATCACCAAGTTCCAAAAGGGACGTACTTCCGGTTGGTCCCCCGAACGTCCGACATCATTTCCGGTGAGTGGAACGCACGCCGAGGGATGCATTCCAGGCGGCCATTTTTTTTGACTAGTGAAGAAAGTTCGTTCGTTATGGAGGCTGTCATCCTGCTGCACACAAGGCTATGAGTTCCTAGGAGCTGAGGAAATTTGTTTTTTGCTATTCGAAAATTCGTTTGATGTCCTTAAATAAATGATGGTTTTTATCCTATGAAATGTGAGTTGTTTGGCTTAAATTAATTAAAAAGGGGGTATAACAGTATTACACTATTTAGTTTTTTTCTCCCTTTTGGAACTTGGTGATTTGGCGAGGAGACGAATGGAGAAATACCCATAGATCTGAGGTGGAAAAGGAGTCCTCAAAGGGGGTCCAGGAGCCCTAAATAATCCTGAAAGGTGTTTTACTCACCAATATCTGGTGAGTGCGGTTTATGTTGGTTTCGGCACTGGTGGATGGTGGAAGAACTATTTGAAGCACTGAAGTTTATTTTTTAGAAATTTTTTTTAGATCACTGGACTTTTGATTTATGGGAAAAAAAATTTTTAGTTTTTATATGTCACGGGATTGTGGTCACTTATCTTTATCACTGGACTTTGAAGATTATTTTATAAAATAGTAATTTTATATTCACTTATTATTTAATATTTGTGTTTTGCGCTGGTTTATATTGGAATATTTGTTTTGGTTTATATACCTATGCACAGCAGCATTTCACTTATAACTGTTTGTTAATAGATTGGTCCTGGGCGCTGTGTTTTTCTGATTTAAATTTTGTGGTAATATATGTTAACCAGAAAAAAATTGTTTATTTGATGATGATCTGATGCCAAAAATTTGGCAAGTTCTCAGGTGTCTTTACCGAAAAGTCATCACGTTCCTTCTTTGTATCCCCAGCAGAGGAACGCTACGTCAGGAGAACCTCTGAGGGTTGCCTTATCTCATCTCCAACCTGTGATGCTGAAGATGAAATCACCACCCATGAAAATTCAGGAAAAAGCACCTTTACCTCAAATGTAGGACTTTACGACATAGATAGGTCACCAGATCCCCCTAAGCCTGAGGAACCATCTTCTGATAGGTCTCATACTGTTAGCCCAGATCCAGGACTTCTCAATCCAAGCATGCCACCTGATCCATCTAATTCTGAGGGTTGTTCTCCTGAAGGACCATGTATCAATAATCCAGATACACATGCAGGACTTCATAGTGCAGGTAGAGCACCTGATCCTTCTAATTCTGAGGGTTGTTCTCCCAAAAGGCGGTGTATTGATAACCCAGATACACATGCAGGACGTCCTAGTTCAGCAACATCTTCTGACCCCTCTAATCCCGAGGAACCACCTGTCTGCAAATCAGAGAAGGATGAGCCTGGTCCTCCTTTTACGTGGGAGTCAAGTCTTGCTGAAGACCAGAAGATGGACCCAGACATACGCTCTTTCATCTGTTCGGACTGCGGGAAAAGCTTTGCACTGCAAAGTGATCTGGAGGACCATCGGCCAACCCACATGGGGAAAAAACCATATTCGTGTTCTGATTGTGGGAAGCGGTTTCCGGTGAAATCAAAACTTATCCAGCATGTCAGAGTCCACACAGGTGAGAAGCCTTTTCCCTGCCCTGTATGTGGCAGATGTTTTCACCACCAAGACCAACTTGGCCTCACACCAGATCATCCACACGGACAGGAAGCCATTCCCATGTAAGGAGTGCGGAAAATGTTTCTCCAGACAATCCTCTCTTTTGATGCATCAACAGACTCACAATGGCAACAAGGATTTCACCTGCAACGAGTGCGGGAAGAGCTTCGCCTTTAAGAACTACTTGCGCATCCATGAGAAGATTCACACCGGCGAGAAGCCGTTTTCCTGCTCGGAGTGCGGGAAGTGTTTTGTCCAGCGGTGGGCTTTAGTCATTCATGAGCGCCTTCACCGGGGCGAAAAGCCCTATTCCTGCGCGGAGTGTGGGAGGTGCTTCGTCGATAAAGGACAGCTTGCCATCCACCAGCGCATTCACACAGGCGAGCGGCCGTACGCCTGCTCCGAGTGCTACAAGAGTTTCGTCCAGAAGTCGGCCTTGCGGAGGCACCAGAGGACGCACACGGGTGAGAGGCCGTTCTCCTGCAGCCAGTGCGGGAAATGTTTCGCACAGAAAGCCCAACTGGTCACCCATCAGAAAGTTCACACCGCCATGAAGCCGCCATCCTCTTCATAGCGCGGGAAGTCACTTCCTGTTCCTCAGGAAGGACGCGTTCTGGAGATCATTCTGAATGTGTGCCGAAATTTCACGTGTAAAAGAATTTTGTACAGACGATGAGTATGTAATAAAAAAAAGTCGACTCAACCTGACCTCCTCCTTCTTCTCTTCTCCTCCCCCAGACCTTTTCTTTGGGATCTTCTTTTTTTTCAACAGTTCAAAAATTCCCAGACGTCAATCCCACTGCCTACGAAGAGCACCCTCCCAATAATCTGCTAGCTACATTCGTAGAGGGTGGCCCCACCCTGAGCTATATAGGGGCATCCAACCTGGAACTGTCAATGGTTAACAATGACGAAATCTGCTGTGGGTCTGGTTATGCCAAATATCGATCTGCAGCCTACAGGGGCCCAGACCCTTCCTCAATGCCATGGCAAGGCAAGGCTTGCCCGATTGGATGCAAATTGAGTGGATTGTTTAGGGCTGTCCTCATATTGGTAACATTGGTCAATTTAAAGGAGATTGTACAATCGAATTGTAGAGTGTATGGCCAATGACATTGTTGCAGCTGGCGTAGACAGGTGCTCTTCATTATGGAGGCTCAGACTTTGGAATTCGTGGCTGGAGGAAGGAGGGAGAGAGCGAGCCTCGATCCCCCCCTAAATATACATCAACACGTGAGATATCTAGATTTCCCCGAAGTTTATTCACAGCCCAACTACAACAAAAAAGTCAAAATTTAATCTGTTTATATATGCCCCCCCCCCCCGAATCAACAAGCTAATGAAATGTTCAAATAAAACGTTTCTTTTTCATTATACACCTTATTTTGGAACCAGTGAAGTCATCACCAGGTCTCTGTGCTTCTCTATGCAATGCAGGCAGATCGTGGCTGGTGGGAGGGGCCGGCAGGGTGGTGTACATAGCTTCCGGAAAACATCACAGCTCCCTGCCTCAGTGCTCTTCAGCCCCTATGTAAGCAGTCGGCTGGTTCTTGGGAGGAGTTATGCCACTATCAAAATGCCCTGGTGGGTGGGAGTCAGCCTGGAGGAATGGGCATTCCTAGGCAGGCTGTATCTGCATACATTCTCCCACATGTGAGTCCCCATGATTGAAAGAACCGTAATCCAATGAATGAAAGGGGCGGGGCCATGGACAGTCAGGCTGGGGAGGAAGGGGCAAGAGGACGCCAGATATCCTCCAGCTAGAAAATGAGGCGGAGCTTTGTCTGACTTGCTGCAGCTTCTAGTGCACATTGTGAAAAACTCACAGTGTGCGGGGAAATCAGAGTAAGCCGTTTCAGTCCAGAAGGGGAGCCGGTACACCTGTGCAAGTCTGAAGGGGAGGAGCCGGTACGCCTGTGCAAGGGTGAAGGGGAGGAGCCGGTACAAACCTGTGCAAGACTGAAGGGGAGGAGCCAGTACACCTGTGCAAGACTAAAAGGGAGGAGACGGTACACCCCTGTGAAAGACTGAAGGTTCAGCTTTAATAATAACAGTATAATAATTTATAACAGAGAGCAACAATGAAATGTATCTACAGCAGGGATGGGGTTAATTCACAGTAAAATAACTCAGCCGCAGCGAGACGAGGGTTAATTCAGAAGGAAAAGACAAATTTGTGAGCGAGCTGCTGTATAGCAAAGAGTTAATCCACAGTATCCTAGCATGTCCTCGGCAAGGCAGGGGTTAACCCACACTGTGATCAGGAGCCCTCGGCGCAGCCCAAGCTGATCCAAGGAGCCATTAATAGCTCACGGCAAGGCGAGGGTTAACCCACATGGTAGTTGGGAGCCCTCAGCCCAAGCCAATCCAAGGAGCCATTAATAGCTCAAGACAAGGCGAGGGTTAACCCACATGGTGATCGGGAGCCCTCAGCCCAAACCAATCCAAGGAGCCATTAATAGCTCATGGCAAGGCGTAGGTTAACCCACATGGTAATCGGGAGCCCTCAGCCCAAACCAATCCAAGGAGCCATTAATAGCTCACGGCAAGGCGAGGGTTAACCCACATGGTAATCGGGAGCCCTCAGCCCAAGCCAATCCAAGGAGCCATTAATAGCTCACGGCAATGCGAGGGTTAACCTACATGGTAATCGGGATCCCTCAGCTCAAGCCAATCCAAGGAGCCATTAATAGCTCGTGGCAAGGCGAGGGTTAACCCACATGGTAATCGGGAGCCCCCAGCCCAAGCCAATCCAAGGAGCCATTAATAGCTCAAGACAAGGCGAGGGTTAACCCACATGGTGATCGGGAGCCCTCAGCCCAAACCAATCCAAGGAGCCATTAATAGCTCATGGCAAGGCGTAGGTTAACCCACATGGTAATCAGGAGACCTCAGCCCAAGCCACTCTAAGCAGCCATAAATAGCTCACAGCAAGGAGGGGGTTAACCCACATTAAAGAGCAATATGTCACAACGCAGATCAGATGACTTGCAACAAGGGGTTAAATCTCTGGGCAGAATGAGATACAAAACGCTTTTAATGAAAGATTAACGAACGATGTAAGGGGTTAATCCCAACAGTGCCAGGAAGGGTTAATCTGTTCTGATGTCAACTGGAGATTTCGAATCCCTTCATATCAGAATTTGAACCCCTTCCCCATTGTTGCCTCATCCGTGATCCTGAGACCTCTCAATTCCAGCTCTATCGCATACGAAACCGCCAAAGGGTTAATCTTATGGTTAAAAATACAGAATTTACTGGAGAAACTACGTTACCCATAGTCCTCCACACCGGCTTCCTGTGACATCATCTGCCGATGCCCAAATCCTCGGGAAAGGTATGTTTTGTTCACTGCACATCCAGGCTGCCTGGAGTATTATACGTCTCGAATTTTGGGCCCCTTTTCTGCAAGCTGTAATGTTCGGTCGCTTTGGCGAAGCGCGGATTTATGTATGGATGACCCCAATTCTCTATTTTTTAAGACATTTTAGGGGAAGGTTTTACTGCACAGAGAATATTTTAAATTTTGTTTTTTAAATATTCCTCCCATTGATAAAGGTCGGTGAAAAATGCCAGCTTTCTGTTTTGTTTGCTGAATTTCAAATAGTCTTCTTCTAACCACTGAACTTTGAGGTGGAACGTTACGATGATGATGTGAAGCATACGAAGAGTGTGAAAAAATGTGGTTAAAAAAAACATTGCCGTGTCAAAAAAGTTCAGTGAAGACCTTCAGCAAAAGGTCTTATTTTAAAAAAATTACAGACTATTAACAAAACAGATCTATTTAATTTATTTATTTCCACCTGTGTCGGAATGTGGTGAAGAACGGCTTCATAAATTGGCCAAATGGCCGAAACTGATGTTCCTCACTGGCAAAATTGCTGTTATTGATGTTCATCACACTTCAAAAACTGGCCAAACATCCAAAGCTGATCTTCTTCATGCTTAATAAACTGGCAAAATTGCCGTTATTTGATGTTCCTCAAACTTCATAAACTGGCAAAATTGCCGTTATTGATGTTCCTCAAGCTTCATAAACGGCACATTTGCCGTTATTCATGTTCCTCAAACTTCATAAACTGGCAAGATTGCTGTAATTGATGTTCCTCACATTTCATACACTGCCAAAATTGCTGTTATTGATATTCCTCAAATTTCATAAACTGGCATAATTGCCGTTATTGATGTTCCTCAATCTTCATAAACTGGCAAAATTGCCGATATTAATGTTCCTCACACTTCATAAACTGGCAAGATTGCTGCAATTGATGTTCCTTACATTTTTTACACTGCCAAAATTGCCGTTACTGATGTTCCTCAAACTTCATAAACTGGCAAAATTGTCATTATTGATGTTCCTCAAACTTCATAAACTGGCAAAATTGTCGTTATTGATGTTCTTCACATTTCATACACTGCCAAAATTGCTGTTATTGATATTCCTCAAATTTCATAAACTGGCATAATTGCCTTTATTGATGTTCCTCAAACTTCATAAACTAGCAAAATTGCCGATATTAATGTTCCTCACACTTAATAAAATAGCAAGATTGCTGTAATTGATGTTCCTCACTTTTCATACACTGCCAAAATTGCCGTCATTGATGTTCCTCACACTTCATAAACTGGCCAAACTGCCAAAACTGATGTTCCTCACACTTAATAAACTGCCATGTATCTAAAATTTCATAAACTGGCAAAATTGCCGTTATTGATGTTCCTCACATTTCATAAACTGGCAAGATTGCTGTAATTGATGTTCCTCACAATTTATAAACTGGCAAAATTGCCATTATTGATGTTCTTCAAATTTCATAAACTCACAAAATTGTTGTAATTGATATTCCTCAAACTTCATAAACTGGCATAATTGCCGATATTAATGTTCCTCACACTTAATAAACTAGCAAGATTGCTGTAATTGATGTTCCTCACATTTCATACACTGGCAAAATTGCCGTCATTGATGTTCCTCACACTTCATAAACTGGCCAAACTGCCAAAACTGATGTTCCTCACACTTAATAAACTGCCATAATTGCCATTATTAATGTTCCTCAAATTTCATAAACTGGCAAAATTGCCACAGTTGATGTTCTTCACACTTCATAAACTGGCCAAACTGCCAAAACTGATGTTCCTCACACTTAATAAATTGCCATAATTGCCATTATTAATGTTCCTCAAATTTTTAGAAACTGGCAAAATGAATGATTCTCACACTCTATTGCTTAATAAAATTGCCATAATTGATGTTCCTTGCTTTGGTCCTTTTTTTTTTTGCCCTCTACTTGGGAGATCTTCCCTTACTTCCTTTTTAGTGAGTACACAATAAGTGAGGGAAATTTTCTCCATACAAATAGTAAACGACAAGTTCTGACCCTTCTCCGATCGCCATAAAAGTGATTTAGTTATTGCCTGCATCCTTGTTGAAGAGATTTCCCTCACTTCTGTCCCGGTGTCTCCACAGGAAGTGCAAAAATTATCTTCTAAATTATTATTATTATACAGTATTTATATAGCGCTAAAAGGTTTGCTCAGCGCTGTACATTAGAGTGGGGGACAGAACAGTAA